ATATATAATATTAATTTTAATTATAATGTGCCAATGATAAACATAAGAAAAGAAAGATATAAAAAATATAACAAGTTACTACCACGAGATTAGTAATATTGAATGTGTGAGACAAAAGTCAATAAGTTTGAAATTTAACACCCCGTTCTTTTTTCTTTTTTTGTGTTTCAGGACTCCGGAGCAATGTCCTAGTGTGGTGTCTCTCTTAGCGGAGAGCTATAATCCTCATGTAAGGTACGGCGCAGCGATGGCCTTGGGTATTGCTTGTGCTGGTACTGGCTTGAAAGAAGCTATCGCTCTGTTGGACCCAATGACTAATGATCCTGTGAATTTCGTCAGGCAAGGCGCATTGATCGCTTCTGCCATGATTCTGATCCAGCAGACGGAATCGACGTGTGCCCGCGTTAAAGATTTTAGAGCATTGTATGCTAAGGTTGTTGTGGACAAACACGAGGATGTGATGGCTAAGTTTGGAGCAATTTTGGCGCAAGGGATCATCGATGCCGGTAAGTTTCTCTAGAGTTCCTTGCATGTGACACTCACAGAATCTCTGATTTTAATTTTAATTATATAGATATTCCAACAAATTTGAAATTATTTCTTTCCTGAGCATAAAAAAATCATTGGATTTCCTGTATTTTGTTAATTTTATTATTGCAACGCAGGGATCACCTTTATTCACTGGACTTCAATGAATCGTCGAATTATAGGTTTCAGATTCTGATCCATGGAAAACAAAATTTTTGCAGTATGAAATTTATTTTTTGAATGTTTGTACCTTAAAATTTTGATACTTGTACTTATACAGGACTCATACACGTGCTTTTGAATTCCTTAATTTTTAGGACTTGGAACTTTTCATTACTTTATCCTTAAACTTACATTCTTACTAATTTTGAAATATTTAATTTTTTTATTTTTAACAAAAGATCTTGTTATTCTAAATTTCTTGAAGCCCTAAAAATTTCGCGAATCTTAGAACGAGATATAAAATCAATGAGAAGTTCAATTGTGAAATATATATACGAGAGGACTTTCGCTTTTTCTTAGGTGGTCGTAATGTAACCGTATCTCTACAATCGCGTACGGGACACACGAACATGTTGGCGGTGGTCGGTGCCCTGGTATTCACTCAGTATTGGTACTGGTTTCCACTTGCGCATTGTTTGGCTCTGGCTTTCACGCCCACGTGTCTGATCGCCTTGAACGCTCAGCTAAAGATGCCTAAATTGGAGATCAAATCAAACGCTAGGCCAAGCATATATGCTTATCCTGCGCCTCTTGAAGAGAAAAAGAGAGAGGAACGAGAGAAAGTCACCACCGCTGTCCTTAGTATCGCGGCTCGTGCCAGGAGACGTGAGACTGAAAGAAAAGCCAGAGATTCTCATGAGAAGATGGAAGTGGTGAGTGATTAAAGGAAATGTCTGAAAAATTTCAGGAAGAAGTTCTCTTGTAATTTGTCTAAATTAATGAAAAAAAAAATGGCGGGAATAATTATAAATAATAATTATTTTTCAAGCGTAAATTATTATATATGTACTTTAACGAGATATCTTGAATTTTCGAATGTAAACTCTTGCGTTTTGAAGTTTTTGCACGCAGAAATTTTTGATATTTTCGATTCTTTAAATTTTCGAATATTTTTAACTCACCGAATTTATGGATCATGTATATCTTTTTATTATTAAATTCTCGTTTAAAGATTTATAAATGGATTTATTCGAATTTTATATATATTTTTGTCTTTGTGTATTTTTTGTTTTGTTTTGCGCATTTGTTTACATTGTATAGTATACATTGCGTATTTCATTGTTCTCATCTCTTGAGTTTCAAATTTCATTAAGCGAGAATAAAATCTTTTTTTTTTATCAAAGATTAATGCGTCTCTTTTATGCAAAGGATCAGATTGTTGATAAAAATATTAATAATCTATAAGTTTTCTCTATTTTACGATTCTAGCAACGTGATGATTTACATTATAAATTTATGACGAATAAAAGAGCACGCTAATAAATTTCAGCACTCGGCCACGTAAGAGAGAAAACAAACTAAATAAAAATTATAGGATCCACCTTCGGAGACGAAGGAGCTTCAAGAGGTAAAGGAAGCTGCATCGTCTTCGAAAGAAAAGGATGAGAAGAAGAAGGATGAGAAAGAGGCTAAGGAAACCAAAGAGAAGCCCGAGAAAAAGGTGGTGAAAGACGGTGATGAAAAGGAGAAGAAGGAGCCCGAGCCGAGTTTCGAGGTCCTCCAGAATCCTGCGCGAGTTCTACGTCAGCAATTGAAAGTCATTCAGCTGATCGAGAGTAGCCATTACACTCCCGTTAAAGATATTCAGATCGGTGGCATTGTCATGGTTAAGCACATGCAGACGGACACCGAGGAGGAACTCGTCGAGCCCGTCGCTGGTGAGTGATTGATCCTTTATTTTCTTTCATCACACGCACAAAACTTTCTTTCAGAAATTGATTGTAAAGAAAAGGCAATTTTAATTTATATTTATATATTTTAATTATATTTTTACATTACAATGGGAATAATTGTATCGAAAATTTCACGAGAGTGAAACAACAATTTTTGAACTATATAATTCTATTCGTATGATTATTAAAGATTGAGAGTCTTTGAAATTGTTATTGTTAATAATACTTTAGCACAGGCATGTTCGAGATAGTTATTAATCTTTTGAGGCTTTCGCGGGTATTTTCTTCTTCAGAGATGTCAAAGAGTTTGCGAATTATCGTCGTGTCGATGATCCATTGCTAATGCCAGCGTTTCGTCAATCTTGCCGTTTATTTTATTAGGGCGAGGAACACCCTATATAATATATAAATATTTATATATTAATTACCAGATTTCAAAACTAAAGAAAGAAAGCTTAATTGTTAATCTTTATTTATCTTTTATTCAAATATTCTTGATTAATAATTTAAGGGATTTTGCATCTATAAAAAATTAACAATGATCTATAATATGTTTTTAATATTGTTCAGATTATCATAGAAAAGATATATTTTACACAAATAAAATTATATACTCATATAAATGAACGGGTCAGAATTTCCGTTTATGTTTCGAAGTATCGAGTATGTGCTTGTAGAGTGTGCGCTTGAGCACTTCCGGTTTGTTTCAGCCTTTGGACCGAAGCCGGAAGAAGAGAAGGAAGCTGAGCCACCCGAGCCCTTTGAGTATACTGAAGATTGAACGCCGGAAATATGCGTCAGCCTGTCGTCCTGTCATCCATTATTCGCCATCGCGATGGCATTGCAATACGCTCGTCGTTACTTTTTATTAATGTTCTCGCGTTTCTTTTTTATATTTGGTTTCCTTTTGTGTGTCTATTTAATTAGCGGAATACTCTGCCAGCTGCAATAAAGCCGTTGCATCTCATGTTATTAGTCTCCTACCTTATAACTCTTTAATTAGGTTCCTAAGCAGAATCAAGAAGATTAATGAACGGCTCGTCTATTTAATTATTTACGAAGTTATGAATAGAAATTTGTAGAATGATGCAAAACATATATATTTAATTTTTTTTTTAATTCTAGAAATTAATTTTTATTAGCAAAAATAAAGGGTGGAAGAATATGATGGAAATAATTCATATATTACTGCGCATTGATTGTAAATAAATTGATAAATCCTTTTCTTATGAATTTTGTTATTTTATACATATACATTAATGAGTTACATTTTTATAGAGAATGAATTAATTGTAAATCATTTCTATATTTTCTTTATTGAACCAATAATTAATGTTTAATTTTCATATATGATTTTTTTCTATCAACAAAACTTTAATAAAATATTATTACATCACAGGGATTGTTTCATAATTTACTGTGCTTAATTAAGTCTTTAAACAAAGAATCAACAATATATTAAATGAATTACGATTTTTATTATTTACAGAAAGAATTTTTATAGAAAGGATAAGATATTAATGAAATAAATGTATGTATTTTATTTGTTTTTATTCGCAGGAAAAGATTACAATCAATTTTTATTAATAATATCACTTTTATTGTTTTTGCAATTTCGCTAAAATTACTCTTATAGGACGTAGTGCCAGTAAATAAATGGATTGTCAGCAAGTCCTCTGTGACAACTCCTCCGTTATTTCCTGTAAATCATTTATTAATAATTTAGATTTGCGGAGACGATCGCCGAGTCTCATCCTTATACGTCTGCTCGAGCACATTATTTTGAAAGTTAGCACGGAGCTTCCGCGAGACAATACATTCCATAATTCATTGTGCTCATCGTTAAAGTTTGACGCGGAGCTTACGGGTCACCCCGTAGACATGAATCTTCCTTGAAATACGCTTCCGCTTTCAGTCCCTGTCGCCTATAATGGTCAGCTCGTGTTCCGCTTCTCCGGCTGTCGCATTCGCCTTGATCGAGCGTGGGTCATAACGTCCGTCGGATGACTATAAGGGGGGAAGCAAGAGGAAAGAAGAGGAGGAGATGGACATCCTCTGGTTGCAGGATTGCAGCCCACGCACGTGTATATCCGCCACACGTGTTCCCGGAAGGTGCGAATTCCGCTCGACGTCAGTCGATAACACTCGACGTGAGGTCTCGTGAGAATCGAGAGTGGCTCGTTGGAAGTGATGTGTCGTCACGTCCTTTAATTTTCCACGTTGACTTTTCAAAGTAAGAAGGAAGCTTTGGGAAATCGAGAACTCAAGAATTTGCTATTTGCGTTACAAATTGATGAGAATACCGTTCTAGAGAAAATCCTGGTCTGACAAGTAAAAAAAATCTTACGAAAATTTCTAAATTACAATATAAAAGTGGGAACATTTTAGAGTTAATATCATTTGCTTCAAAATTGATGATTGAAAAAAAATTATGTTTCTCAGAAAAGGGGAATAATAACTATTTTTCAACTTGATAAAAAATTATTGACTAATCAAATAATATCGGCGAAAAGAATATGTTCTCAAAAGAAAGAACGTATTCTTGTGTTTTTAATATGATCAAATATCATTTTGATCATTATCGTTTTACAACCCTTAACTCTCCTTGCAATCTGAGTCTCTCTCTCGAAACAAGCGAATTTTCAAATTTCTCCGAAATACAAGAGAGCGAGAATCCCTAAAAAATATCCTGTTAAAAACTATTTGATAATGTAATAGAGATGTTGAAAAACCGCTGAATTTTTCCACATTTTTTCAGAATTTTTTTTTTTTTGAAAGTCTAGGACGATAAAAAAAAACAGATTGAAGAGTTAAAAAAATCATCCTTTTTAGTTGTGACAATTTCAATAACTTTTTAATGAAAATGAATTAATTCATTTTTAATAATTGGTAGAGTAATGTTCACTTAGCTCACGATAATAATTCGAAAATCATTTTTTTTTTTTAGTTGTGTTACAATTGATGCAAGGAAACGATGTGTCAAAAATCAGTGGATCTAAAAATTTGTGACATCAAAGTCTGCAAAAACAAAAAAGTTCTATCAATTTCACAAATTTCGAAATTTTGACATCCAATTTTACGGAAATTCTGAAATTCATACGGATAAAAATGTTCAGATGAAAAAATGAAGGTATATAGAATATGAAAATTTGTACACTGAAGGCTTTTTTTTAATCTATTCGATCTTTCTCTAATCTGAATATTGATTACTTTGGATCTAGGTTAAGGTGTTTAAAATAAATGAATTTACACAATGTAAAGGAATACACATGAATACAATTGGATGGGATATTTTTGTCACCTCACGGTGTCGGACACAAATTTCATTCCGGGTGTTGGATGGAATTTTGAATGAGTATATGGCGGCCGCAAAATTTGGATCAATACCCAAGTAAGGCATGAAACGCGCTAGTAAATGGTGTTGTAAAGTTGCTGAAACTCGCCCGACAAACTCGTCGATGCGGCAGTGCTTATCGTCTCGTCTCATCTCGTCTCTCTCGCGCCATGAAACGAAAGTAGTTTGCACATTTGCAAGAGCAGTTTGCAAGCCGAGGCAGCTTCTACGACGATGAACATGCTCGAGGTAAGAAAATAACCTGTTAGACGTGTACACATTACATCCATCCCCGGAAAACCCATAACGTTGGCATTTTCCACCGGAATTTGCAGTCATGTTTTCATTCGCGAAAATTAAAGGCGACATGTATAATTACTTTGTTGTCGCACGCAGCTAGTTGGATTTCCTCTCTACATCCCGCGCGGTGTACTGTATTATTTTTTACTTTACTTAAACACTCTTGACGTAAATAGAGAATGTGTAAAAACGAAAAGAATATGTAATGGTGATTAAAAATGGATTGAAAATGAAACAAAAGACCTACTTTTGAAAAAGGCCTACTTTTGCCAAAAAGATATAAGTAAAAGGAATAGCGTTGGACGTGATAAAATTTGTAAAAAATTTATGACATTTGGGGAACACTTGAAAATTTGACAAACTTGTACTCTTGTATTTATCCAAATTTTGATATTCTTGCTTAATTTTTGAGATGTTCCCTAAACAAACTTTTTAATAACTTTATCATACTCAGAAGGTAAAAATATACAAAAATACTATTCCTTTTGCTTACACCCTTTTAGGCAGAAATTGGTCTCATTTTAACGTACTTCTTTGATGTACGTTGTGTGGTAAAATAATTACTTCAAATTAAACTAAAAAAAAAAATAGCAGGCTATTCTTTAAAATGTACGTTGCACATTCGCTGCGTGTATTATTTAGCAATGATGAAGGCTCGGTATTTGGACTGTGACATTTAACGCGATTTTCGGGGACGGTTGTGGCATAAAGCCGCATTGAAACGACAGCCGGTTGAAGGGTTAGTCGGGAATTTACGAGGGAGCGCGTATGCCAAAACGGCGGACAACTGTTTCATAATATAGCGTCGCTTCATCTCATGCCGTTAATTTCACTCACAAACGAGAGAATATAGAATATCGCGGCGCGACGGTCCTCCTCCTTTCCGGACACAGGGACGTAGCCGATGAAAAACGGCGACGCGATGTATAGTTCTGTACAAATCCATCCTGCATCGAGAATGATCGATGAGCGACATTTCCCGCAAACAGCGATAAACTTTCGGCTATCGAGATTCGCGTCTGCCACCTGAGAGGGATTTTACGGGCGAAACCTCGCAATCTTTTAGTCGTTATGGAAAATTGAGTAGGATGTTCGCGTACAGAAGTATGTGTAGCAAAAAACTATCGCAGTTACATTCTAGCCGTTGTAAGCTGCTCGTGTATTCATATCTCTCTCTCTCTCTCTCTCTCTCTCTCTCTCTCTCTCTCTCTTTCAATGTATAATTTTTTAGAATAATGGAGCAAGTAAAAAATTTGCACAGGATAGAATAAAATACAATATCTCTAAACTGACGGTATTATTAAAAATATTAGTAATTTCTGTTGTAAAGGTAGATAAAATAAATTCTTTTTACACAAAATTTTATTCACGAAAAAGATAATTTGTTCATATATAATTTCTTTTTCATTATTAGTAAGAATGAGAAAGAGAACGAGAGTAATAAAATTTGTCTGACCAATAATTTGTCTTCATCTACTTGTTTAATATTCGTGAGAACAAATGAAGAAAGACTTCTTTTATACATTTTTATTTCAAGAAAAAAAAATTGATATTTACATAATTTAATTTAATAATTACAAATTAAAAATTAAAGTCCCTATTTATACATTTATCGATATTTATCGCGCGCATCGATATATATCTATTTATAACATATAGTTTATATTTAGGCTATAGAATTTCAGAAATAAATGTGCACATTTATCGATAAAAGTAAAGTGAATACGGATTTAATTAATTGAGGCGTGCCATGACGCCAAAACGTTGTAAGATTGCCAATATTGTGAAAATTCATTTTATCGTATGAATAGATTGTAATAGTGTATTCTGTCACACACTAATATTTATTAGCGTGAAAAAAGTGCTGCTAGAAGTGGAGAAAAATGACTAGTACAATTTAAAACGTTGTAAATTCATTTGTGCAACTGTTACTCTTATTTGAATTTACAACATTTTGACTTGCATTTTTATTTGGGCAACGTTTGGGAATTTTAACAATTTTAACAGGATTCTTTTTAGAATTGCTTAATTAAAAATTTTTGCAAAAATTAATTGCTCATATTTTTAGTTATTACAGTAATTTTTTTGTAGAATTTTCAAACATAATTTTCATGAAAATAAATTCTCCTTTTCTCTTCTGAACAATTGAAAAAAATGGCACTTTTTTTCAGACACGCCTGAATTATTAATATAAGGATGAGAAAGAGGACTAGAGTAGTAAAGTTTTACCAATAACTGTCTTCATCTGTTCATCTAATATCCGCGAGAACGTAATGAAAAGTAGAAGATAAAGAAAAATGAAAAGAAGGGGCAGTAAAAAGAAGATAACTAAAAGAAAGACTTTGATTAATAAAATAATTCTCGCGGTCACGTAAAAGAAATGGAAAATGCGACGGCTCACCTTCGAGTACATCAAGCTCAGAGGTAAACTGATCGCGATGCTGAGGATCCAGACGAAGGTGATCTTCAGCGTCACTCTTTTCTTCGTTTTGTTGCGTCCAAATTTCATCGGGTAGCGCAGGCTTAGATAGCGATCCACGCTTATCGTGCACAAATGCATTATGCTGGCGGTGCAGAATAGCACGTCGAGGCAAATCCAGGCGAGGCAATAAACCGACGGCAGCGGGAAGTATCCTGCGAAACAAAACGGCGAATGAGTATCTTGCTCGCTTGGAACGCGGCTAATTAAATCCTGGCTCAATTAGTGGCACCTTGGCTCGCCGAGAGATAAATTTCAATTACCCCGACATTCGTCCGCGCGGTATTTTATTTATGCGCAATAGTATTGCTGAATATATTTTTCGTATTAAACGGGTTTTAACATCGGGATGTACATCGACGTAACGGAATTAATACAACAATTAAAATTTTTATGTATTATACATAAAAAAAAAAGTGTACATATTTTTAGAAATTAATTTTCGCGTACCATTTTTCTGTTTAAACAAAAATATATGTGGAAAATGGACCGATACGTGAACAAAAAAAAAATACAAATAAATTGATCATTTTAAAAGTCTTATTAATCAGTTTTTGAATCGAAATTGAGACGTTAGACTCAAATCTACATACTAAGTATTATGAAATTTATAAGGATGCTTAAATGTAATTGTGGATATAGTTATAGGATATTTTTCCTTTGTTTGATATTAAATTCTTCTTAAATATTTGACTGTGCTTTAAACATTTGAAATTAAACATTGGAATACGAAGATTAAATTGTTATTGATCATTACATGTAACCTGGGTTCTTAATACGATATTATATCGAGATGACATCAATGTACAGGTTTCATGTATGATAACGGTAAATAAGCAATTTACATGCGTAATTTATTAAGTAAACTTCATAAAGAACGCGGTAATTTTCCTTTAATCTTCCCTAGATTGCATTCGAGGTAATTCGGGGCCATTCGATATTAAATTTTCAGTTTCTCTTGTCTGACGATATGTGGAAATAGTAATGTTATCACAAATAGAAAGTTGTTATCTCGAGATCGATGTTACAGTGATTTCATTCTTTTTTTGCGACCTTTAAACTTTGTTTAATAATTAATCTTTGTAGAGCTGTTATTCGAGTCTCAACTCGATGCTCTCGGGTTTTTTCAATTATTCATTTTTGCAAGCTGCCAAAGGCCATAATTGATACGCCCACTCTTCGTTATAATAAACGTTTTACTTCTAGCGGACGTGGCCGTGCAAAAAGTTTAGTTTGTCGAGCAACTTCCGGCTGTAAAACTTCTCCGCCAAAGGTTACTCGCTAATCATTTTGCGCGCGTAATTAATGAGTAATAAATATACTCGCTCTGTAATCTTCTTCACGGCCGTTCTTTCTACGATATAAATATTTCACTAGAATTTCATGGAATAAAGATTTAGTTTTAATAAGAAAATCTTATCTTAAAAATTTTAGATTAAACGCTTACCTAGAATTTCTTATTCGGAACAACTCGATTTCGCAACTCGATATCATTTTCTGGTATGTTCCAAACTCAGAGTTAAAAGATCTAATCTTAATAAAGATCCTGCTTATTTGGAATAAAATTAAGATTTAATTAAGATTGGGATTTAATTTATCTCTTTAAAATATTTCGACAATATTAACTTTCGGATATTGGAACGAGTTGTAAACGAGGGAAAGTCGTTTAAAGGATCAAAGGTATACGAGACAATAATGATTAACCTTTAACTATTAATTAAGCCTCTCTTTGACAGAGGCTTATTTAAATTTCGCCGGTTCGTGAAAATATTGCGTAGGGGTGGGTTTCTATGCGTTCCGTATAAGGACCGTGTCCCCGAGGAAGAGATGAAAGTACCGAAAGCGTAGACTCTGCAGGTAAAACGACAGGCGGTTAATGCACGAAGGAACGAGGGATTAACACAACTCCGCGTGTCGAACGAAATTACCGTCTCGTGCCCGCCGTGCAGCCCCCCAGAAACTGCATATTCATGTACGCCGCCGGATTATCCACCGTGTATACCGACGATCTAATATTTCGCTGCTTATTAATGCAGTCTCTGTATACTCCGTCGTGATTCTGACTGCTTGCAAAATCGTCAGTCGTCCCGGGAGATTTGCACGCGTAGTGTACGTCGTTTATTCCTAAAGAAAGCATCTACTTATGATTCATGTATGTACGTTATTGTAACTATTGCATATTATTGTATATGCAATTCATTTGTAGCGTAATATATTTGTTCAACCCGCATAGGAAAATAATGAAAAATATGAAATAAACTGAATTTTCCAATTAAGCGACATTCAGCTTAATTAAAATATAAAAAAATCCCGGCATTTTCGAAAAATCATAAATTAATTGTTTATCTATCTATCGTACGATTGACAAGTTTTTATATATGGAATTAAAAACGGAAAGCTTTTTCGGGGAATTAAATTTTACGAGAGTGTAAAAGTTAAACAGAAATTTATTACGTGGATATTATGATTAATGAAAGTAAATGTGTATATGCGTATTGCTACGCTGATAGAAAAGTGACAGTAAGTAAGCATTTTTTGAGGTAATGAGAGGAAATGGATTGTAAAGTCTATTATTCATGTTTTTGTGGAAAAACGACGTATATTGCTTATATGGTAAAATGTCACAACTTTGGTAAAGAAAGAAATTTATGCAACTCTGTACCAAGACTGCAACGTTCGTATTTTAAAAACTTATGACAGTTTGAAGCTCTTTGTGGACAGCCTCGATCGACCTCATTCGGAGTTTTACTTTTTATTTTGTAAATTACCCGTTCGATTTTTACGACACTTGGCTTATGGAATGATTTGACAACAGATGTATGCTTTCAAAGTTAAAAATAAAAAATTTAAAACGGTGAGTCCAATATGGCAAAAATAAATAATTTGATTTTGATTTTTGAAATTCAGTTTTACGAGAATTTTTGGTTACAAACGACAAGTTTCCAATTTTGCTCGATTTGAAACTCATTAGTTTCTCAGCTACGTAAACATTTAGTACTAAATGTTCCAAACTGTCTCCTCTAACTCTGATTATGAGCCTGTGACATTAGATCCTCTTTCATTGAAGGCACCAATTTACTGTCCTTTTGAAATTCGACATTTTCAAACTATATTCAAACTCAGCGATATCAAGAATCTTCTAAAATCGAATTTCACGATAACCAGATTATTTTGTCGAAATTTGAATTTTAGAATTCTGAAGACAGAAGAATTAAATTCAGCGAGCTTAAAAATCCTTAGAAAACGAGATTTTTAAGTTTCTTTAGGAGAAACTCTCATCCTCCTCAAAGAGTTAAAAAACACGTTATAATTAAAAGTAGGTATAACGTGAAAAGAAAGTGCATGTACTTATGCACTTATTCACTATCCTAATTAAAACGTTGTTTCATTCTTTAAAAAGAATTCAAAAAGTTTCTTTAATGCTTTACTGATATAATTTTTGGATGTGCTACTTTTCTTATTTTATAAGTACATATATATTCGATATCAATACAAAATATTTTAGTGTCCCTATTTTAGTAGCATCTAGATATTAATTATACTTTAAATAACCCTAACAAGAAAACGTTGGGATTCGACCGCAATAGTTTCCGAGCTAATAATACCGTGCGGAATTAGAGCAGCAATTATCTGCAATCTGTTATTGATTTGACGAAAGCTTTAGCTTAGACGATATTGACTTTTGCTGTCAAAATAATTTTATCTTTTTCTTACTTATTGACATTACACACACTATGGTAATTACTAATATCGATTGTTACTGATTATATTGACAATTCTTAATATTGACGTTTATAACTAACGGCAAATTTGATATCAAGAGGACGTTATCCTATTTGTTAACGAAACGGAATTTTGATCGAGTGAAATGAATCGTTATCTCGGATAAACGTTGGACTGCCATGAAACGAGACAGAAATTTCGAGACAATAGCTGGGGTTTGCCGAAAAACCAATTCGAAATTCGAGTATCGTGCATGCGTTCGGTGTGAATTTACTTTGGAAAAATATGAAATTTTTCGAAGCGATAACGGATCGGCTGATGTGTGTGGGCTTGGCACTTGTTTTTGCTTGTATGTGTTTGTACAAGCTCCGTCTGTCCGTCGTGTCGTGTTTCCGTTTTTCCTTCACAACGTGATTGCGGTGAGCAATGTAAGTATCAAGACACCAACTAATTAACGAGCAGGACAAGGCTCTCTTTATACAACGACTCGCAAGCAACCGCATAGCATTCAATGCAACTGCATAATATTTCGCGTGACTTGTCTATTTAAAGCCTATATATATATTGAAACGAGAGGGGATCGAAGTTATAAATTCATGTCATTTTATTCATTTTCGTAAGCGATAGCTAATTCGATATTTAAATTCGACTTCCTTGTTGCTTTATGAATTTTTTTATTAATTTCAACGTAAACTGCCTGTTTTCGATTTATGAGGATGTATTACCGGTTCGAGAAACAAGTTTGAAATTGGAAAGGTGTATTTAATATTTACTTTCCATATAAAAATGAATACTAATACTTATTCATATGAAACGATTGTTTCAATAACATCATATATTTATTTAATAACATATTTTTATATGAAAAGTATAAATATTAACTCAAGCAGAAAAACAAGTTATCATCATCAAAATCATGTCAAAATGACTGCAAAGTGATCACTAAAAGTCACTTTTCAATCATTTACGATTCATTTTAATATTATTTTGACATTATATTTGATGTTACATACCTGTATATTTTCGGACAATCACTCGCATCTCAATTAGAGTTGTTACATTTATAATAAAAGTTCAAATTATCGAATATTTTCTCTTTTTGGAATGAAAATCTAACTGGACAAAATCGGACGGAAATGATAATCATAAAGCTAGATTAAATACAAAATTTAATGAAAAATTAGTTACGAAATATTATTTTCCAATAATTTTGAAAACACAGTTTGATTGAATAAAATAATAAATTATTAATATTTAATATAATAATACATGTTATTACTGAACGCAAAATTAAATTACGTTTTATACATATGACATTTAACATTTGTTATAAATATTTTGTTAAAACATTTTACGCGTTTAACAATGTTAAAATAAAAAAAACGTTTAACTTTTGAAATAAAATATACATATATTTTTTAACAAATATATA